TTTTTGATCAAATAAGCTTATTTTAATTTCATCATATTTGATATAATTCAACACACAATAATCTAATTACAACTAGAAATTATGAAACCATTTATCTTCAAAATTGAAACCATCTTGCAATTATAAACATAATGAAGATTATAATTAAAATAAATTCTTCTTCAATTATTTTATATACTATTTCAAGCACACAAGATAATATAATTAAAATTTGAATCTATTAGGTGTCAAAATTTCAGCAACTTCACTTAAGGCAAATTTAAATACCTTTTTCAATTTCATTAATTTTTAATATTCTCATAAATAGAAGAAATACTTCTGAACTTTTTACTATCTGATCAAATCTAATAAGAAAATGAAAGCCAGTTATTGGCATTCCTAATTATTTTCTGAGTGTTCAGGTTAATTTCTAAATTTAATTCTAAAACAAATTATTAAATTTGTTTTATTTTTGTTATAAGTTGTAAATGGAACATATAAGAATCAAATTTCTATGATATTTCTAATAAAACCATTAAGGAGAGATTTAATAATCATAAATCAAATGATGAAAAAAATAAGTGAATTCTTAAAAATTTATATGACTTGTTCTTACTTGGTCAATATAAATTGACAGAATTAATGCTCTCCTTCTTGAGGTAGAATCCATATGTCGAAGATTTTCATTGACCTTTTTAAATCTGGAGAGACCTGGATTGATGATTATTCCTACAATATAATTTTCTAAAATAAGGGCACAACCATTAGGTAATAGAGCTTCTATTCTCCCATTTATTTTCCACATGTTTTAAACAAAATTCTTTTTGATAAATTGCATAACAATCTATATAATTTGTTAGCTTTTTGTATTAAATTAGACTTTCTTTTAGAATTTTCCTCTATACTCATCTATTTAATTTATGATCTAACTACACTACTCTCTCTTGCCATATTAAACTACATACTATCTTATATGATGAATTAAATTAATTTGAAAAAATATTACCATATCTACTCATATTGACCAAAACCAAGTTTTCTTACCACTCTAACAGGGGAAGAGTTCCATTTATTCAAACATCTTGATTTGGAGAATACATCAATATAGTAATGATATAGACTATTTTCCCTTAATCATTTAAGTATGTTATCAATCTATTCTACTTGACCTTATATTCCTCTCTTTATTTAGGCATAAGTGTTTCTTGAACTTCACTTAACTAAATCTGTCTGGATGATTCTGATATTGTTCAGTATCGCTATTAAAAATTCTAAGAATGGTCTTTAACAAGATACTTTTAATTTATTTTCAATATAAATTTGTTCCCCTAGTAATTACATCATACCCATCTCTGAAGTATCCACATATACATTTTTAGAGGATAAAAGTTTTACAATAGTCTGGAATCTCATAATTGTCTTATTAAAAATTCTCTCTATAATGAGAGAGGATTTTGGTTATAACTTTTACCCATTTATCCTTATTCTCATTCATGAGCGGGAATTACCTTTAAAGCTCTCTATTCTCAATTAGAGTATGTTTCATTATTAAAGAGTGGAGAAGCGATAGATCTCTGTTGCCTGAATACTCTTTCTTTCTAGATTTTGATCTATTAAGCCTCTTGTGACCTAATTCGGATTAAGGCTTCGACATTCCTTTCAGAATAGAACTCTTGTATTTATAAATGTTACCTTGAATGAATTGAAAATGAAAAGCTTGCTGTTGATATCGAAAAATTTGGTTTGACATCAGTGTCAAATATCACTTTTCAAATAAGATCAACATCTCATCATTAATTCAAAATAAATTCTAAATATTGGCAATATATAGTTGCTTATTTAAATTATATGTACTAATTAAATTTTAAAAATTGTTATTTAATATTAAAGTGAAAAAAAATTTAGTTATCTAAAATACTAAAGTTTCTTTTATAAATTTTTAGACTACGATTTAAGGTTTATTTAGTAAAGAGCTGAATATATAAGGTATACTTTTACAAATTATTGTTTAAGAAAAATCAATTCAAGAATAAAGTACATAAAAGTTAGTTGGATTCTTCAATTTTTGATGAACACTTTGAATATCGTGTAAATCTTAGTAAGTTTTAAATTTTGTTAAATTATTGTTTTATAATACTTCCTTTATACAAAAATAATGAGATAAATTATATAGAAATAGACTACTTTTAAAAGAACTTTCAATAGAGAAGTAAACTAATTTAGATAATGAATGCAATGAATCTCCTAAATTATAAATTACATATATGATATTATATGCTTTTATAATTATTTTAAATATAGTAAAAATCCAAATTATCAGAAAAAAAAAGTATTTATTTATTTTTGATGGATATTCAGACAAATTCTCCCATATTTTTACATTAAAAATTGAAATTTTACTTCATTTTGTAAATAAATTCTTATATATCTATGCTAATCATGCATCACTCAATCAAATAAGTAATTTAAAGCTAAAAATCCTAAAAAACAATTATTCATACCATAGATTTAAGTATGTTTAAGAAGATTGAGTGCAAAATTTTTTTGTTATTAACACTAAAGTTAAGGTTATGAAGTTATTTTTTAAATATAAATAATAAATTATATTAATTTTTGATGATGATGCATTATTGTTCAAATATATAAAACTTTAATAGAAATACATATAAATAATAATTTTAATCATTAATATGCAATAATAATAAGAGTTATTTGCTAATAAAACATCCAATTAAATAGA